AGAATGAAGAGAAAGCTTACAAGTTGCTTGATTTTGATTTTCTTGGTGGCTCGTGCTTGCTGATATTGTTGCCCCTTATGTGTATGCTTGCTGGCAGATCCGTTGGAAGCAAGGTTAGGAATCAGGAGGTCCGAGAGAGAGAGAGAGAGACTACGCAGGCTGTAACGCCCGCGTAAATTTAGGAAGAGGGGGCTGGCTTGCGGGGGCCGAGGCCGCCGCGCCGCCCCACCACCAACTCAGGAGGTCCGCTCTGATGAGCGCGGGGCCGATGGCAGTGATACTATGGCATGACTAACTTATCTATCTATCTTTCGGCGGCCCCAAACAGCTGTCATACTCTCCACCGTGTGCAAGGTGAGGTACTTGAACAGATAGAGCCTTGTGTTTTTCTTTGGGTTTGTTCCCCTAGGTCGACCATGGCCGTGTCATGTCCGCGTAGATTGTGCCTTCCATTCCAAGTGTAATCACATGGAGGTGAACCGTGGGGACCTGTCCACACCTCCACCGCAGGCACAACCGCAGCTCGCGCGGCAGCACGGTGCCCCACTTTTGGAGATAGAGCCAGGCGGCCGGGTGCAGGCTGGGTGCAGTCTCACGTTCCAGCCGCATGTACAGCGTATTGAGGTTGGCACCCAAAACGTCTCATGCATGTTGCAGGCCAAGCGCTTCAGCGCTTCACGCATGATTTGGCCAACTGTGCCCCAATACGCATGCCTGGACCTGGCAACATGTGGCTGCACAGCAGCCTTGCAGGCTTGTTTTTTTTGTGTTACTTTGACCTACATCACCCTGGGCTCTTCAATATCGGCGTTGTTGAGAGACCTTAATATTCCAATTGAATAATCATAAAGGCCGAAACCAGCCGGATTAGCCTCCATTGACCCGTGTTGGAAGCTGTAACCCGGGTTACAAGCCAGGGATCAATAATGCGGTATAGTACGTTACCATCTAACACCGTTGTTGTTGTGTAGTACCGTACAGGTTCCCCGCTGGTCCACCGTATTGAACATCCCTGGGGAGCCAACCGTCCTCGAAGCGGTTACATGTACAGTGCATTTGTACATGCCGGAGGTAAAAACAGCATCGCGCTGCGAGGCGGGATACCAACATACGCTGCATAATTATCATGTTCTTGTGCTCATACGCTGTGGCCTCGCTCACGGATTAATTCTGGCCAGCCATGCCACACACGTGCGTGTCTATCCTTGCATAACCGTGCACGCACCCGCGCAATAGCTCTGCGAGCCTGAATGGTGTGATGCAGTGTGTTCACCGCGTGAACGTGCAGTGTTGTTATTACCAGGAATTTTCCACAATTTGTGTGAGACCCCCAGGTCTTTCCGCAGTATGTGTTGCTGGCTGTAAGGCATTTATGAAAATTTTGCAATACGATATATACGCAGATGGTACATGTAGAGTACCGCCGTTGCTGCCGACACTGAGCCGCCCTGCCTTCATCTGCTGCCAGTGAGGCGGCTCTGCTGCTTTCGGTGCATGCGTGCAGCATCTCTGCTGTTTGCTGACAACCCCACCGTTAAGGCCCGCGCCAGCAGGCCGTGACGCCCGCGCCAGCAGCACGCCGCGCCGGCCGCCGCCGATGCCACCACCGTCGCTGCACGCAGCAGGTCGCCCCTCGCTCGCTCAACCACCCGTGCCATCGCCGTCAGCTGCCGCCGCCGCCGGCGGAGGCGCTGCCGGTGTGCAGGCGGCGGTGGTTGCCGCATACGAGCAGAACTACAGAGGAGTAGATTCCGGCTGCTTTGAAACTGGCGCACAAATGCTTCATGCTGAGGTGGCGCGGCTGCGGGCGGCGCTGGAGGAAAAGCAGCGGGCCAGGGCGGAGACCGAAGCGGCCCTGCTGGCTGCAGCAGCCCAGGCAGGTGTCCGAGGTGGCGGGCGCTGTGGAGGTGGCCGCACAGGAGGCAGAGTTGCGCCTACGCGCCAAGTTGGAGGCGGAGCAGGCGGCCGACGGAAGCGGTGCGGCTGCGCGTGGTCGGTGAGGCGGCCATTAGGCAATCCGCCTGTGGCGGAGGTTTGTGGCGGCTTGATGCCAGGGGTTCTGAACCCGCCTTGGCACACTGTGGCAGGCTGCTGCGTCGCAGGGCTGCGCAGCGGCCTGCTTGCACGCACTGCAACAATCGTTGCAGCTATGGCTGATTGCAATCAGCCATAGCTGCCCCTGCGCCAGCCGTATATACGTAGCCGGGCAGACGGCTACCAGCAGTCACGCACCGAATGCCTGCCAGTGCCGGCTGTGCATGCTGGGGCTACCGGAAGGGTGCGTGCGTGTCATGCGTCTGCTGGGTGCAGCAGGCTGTCAAGAGATTCTGCCTAATGGTGGTGACCTTGGCTCGGGTGTATGTCACACGACACGTTGAGAGCAGGACTCTTCAGCTAATCAACTGACGGGCAGCAATCCCATCATGAAAAGTCATCAGAATCCTCATCTGCTACAGCAGGTCACACATCACACAGGTAGGTTAGGTTCCGGTGATCACCCATCATGACCACATTCGTTCCGGGTTACAGCAGTAGCTGGCGGTCAGCTGGTGTGCTTCTTTGCAACACGCAGGGTGTGTTGAGCTGATGCAGACAGCATCATTGACATCCGGCCCTGCTGGTGGCAGAAGTCAAGCGCCAGCGGGCCCTGCAGCTCAGCGGGTGCCCCACTGCTTGCTCTGCTTGCTTGCAAACTGGCAATACGCTGTGCCAATCGTTGCCTGATGCCCCTCTACCTGGCCGCAGCGCCGCATCAAGCTTTTTTTTGTAGGCATGCATGCTGTGCAGCTTTGTAGCCCACGGCGTGTGCAGGCTGCAGAGCACTGCTCTGCTGCAATACCCTCACACGCACGGGACAGCATGTCCTGGGCACGCAACCTGAACCACTCCGTTATTTGCAAAACAAGCGAATTTACTGCATTGATGAACGCAAAGCAACAAGCGATGATGGAGCTGGAGGACCCCGGCAAAAATCGAGTGTCAGCTGCTGCTGCAGCGTCAGCGGGGTGCGCTGGCCAGATGCGGTAGGTTACTGCGGCATGCAAGGGTCACGCGGAGTATCAAAACGCAAGCTAATGTTCCTGATACGACATGCACATCATTATATAGACGTGGAGCGATCTTGGAGCTTTGATCTTACAAGCGGGATGTCGGGCGTCGCCCGCTCAAGGTCGGCGTATCTGGAGCATCGCAAGAAAAGGGCTGAGGCCGTGGGTGTCTGTTTGTGGGCTGGAGGACACGCAGGATGCTCCTCAATGCATATGGCACCCTTCAAAAGCTGCATATGGCGCCACGCTGCATGCGTTGCCTCTGGTGTCCCGTCTCACACCCTGGGAATTCAGCTCGTTCTTTGCATACTGCTGCTTTTGCGGCCTCTGCAGGCTGGCGCAGGAGCGGAAGAACTGGCGGAAAGACCACCCACCTGGTCGGCCGGGGGGCGGGGTGGGGAGCATGTGCCCTTGTGCTAGGGGCCAGGGTGCCTGCGCGGGGCGTGCTTGTGTGCTTCATAGGCAGCATCCTGCACAGAACATCCCTGTTTTTTGATCTGCGCATTGAGCGAGAAGCAAGGCACGGTGTGCCTTAAAGCTGGCGGTTGGCGCCCAAAGCGGCCAAACCCGCCTGCACGACTGCAGGATTCGTGGCAAAGCCCGCCACGCTCCCTGACGGTGAGGCGCCCAAATTCCAAATCGCATGAATCCGCCAGCTGTCGCGCACAACACCCTGCTAGGCAACGCGGCGCAGAGGCGGGTGTGCAACGCGAGGCGCGCAAGACCTGCGGTCAAGCCACCTGCATGATGCATCCCGCTCCATCGTGACACATGAGCCGCAGGGTCCACCGACCTGATGACCTGGTCTTGCCTGGTCCCGGGGAAGGAGGGCACGGACTGGGAGGTGCGCGCCGCGGCCCCGCTGTTTGCTGCGCGCGTGCTGGCTGCGCTGTGCCGGGCCGAGCCGGGCTCAGCACCGACACCCTGCGTTGTGTGCGCTGCCCCTCTCTGCCATGCCTAGACTGCTCTGCTCTGCGTTGGTGTTGGTTGGACTCCACGAGGCGGGTGCTGAGCGCCCGCTTTCCACCCTGCGTGAGCCTGCCACCCTTCCCGCCCTTTGGGTTACTGACCCCCCTGCGCCCCCTGCCTTTTGGTGCCTCTGCCTGTGTGGATCTTCCTGTTGCAGGGGGGCTTGTACCCTGTGACGCTGCGCTTTACAGAGGAATACCCAAACGACCCACCCATATGCAGGTATGCAGAGAAACCCCTTTCCCCCAACCTCGGCTGCGTGCTCCCCCCTTCCTCACATGCATTCGTTGCAAGGCACCCAACTTTTGATGAATGCAGCTCTGTGTTGGCGCTCACAGAAGCGCAATCTGCCTGCGTATCAGAGGGCACATGTCGCCTCAGATGGCTGGGCACGTGGGGAGCCCAGCTCTCGTGGGGGGTCCTTGCTGACGGGCATGCATGCGTTCAAGTACCGTTCACTCCGTGACATCACTCTGCCTCTTCGCTGAACAACACCTTCTATCCTCCAGGTTTCCGTCAGGCTTTTTCCACCCAAATGTGTTTGACCATGGACAGGTGTGTGCACGCGCATGTTCGCGCATGTGCACACGCTTGTGGCTGCGGTGCGCATGCGTGCGCACATGCCATGTCTGTGGGGCACACGTGCTCTATACAACACAGCCAAATGTGCCGGCTGTGTTGCAAATCAAACGTCATACTACCTCACCCCTTCGGTCACTGCCGTTCTGCAATCCTTATGCCTGAAACCATTGAACACCACACCCTCCCATCTCCCACGCCCCTTTATCCTCAGATCTGCCTGAGCCTCATCAACGGTGTGCAATGATGCAAGACCGGCAGCAGGGAGATTCGAGGCAGTGCATGCAGGGTGGGGTCAAGGAGGGGAGGCGACATGCACCCTTGCCTGCACTGCCCAAGTTTGCCAGCTGGTGGGGGCGCATACTGCAGCGCACTGCTGTTGGGTCACATGCGGGCGGCGCGTGCGTGCGCTACCCCTGCAGCAGCAGCCACAGCCAGTCAAACCGGCTGCTCACCACGACATGAATCCGTCTGTTCCTGCATGCACACCGCACCCGCTTGCAACGCAATGTGGCTTGCGCGTGGTATTGCATGTCAATCTGGTTGTCACGAGTGCCTTTCTCGCTCGTTGCCACAACTGCCCCTTTTTGCTCGTCACAGACTACCAAGACTGGAAGCCAGCGGTCACACACAAACAGGTTTGGTGGAATGAAAATGCCACAAGAGATACAAGGGTTAGAGGTCAATCTTGGGACAGGGACAGTTTATCGCTTTGGCGCCGAGTGCCGCTCTGCTTGCGTTGCCTGGCGCCGACATGTCCAGCTTGTTACTGCCAGCTCGTCCACAGTTCAGCCTTGTCCGCGCAGCGCTGGTTCCTTGTGGCACCAGCAAGCAGCGCAGTCCAGTAGGTTGCACACCTCTGACGCATGCGCCCTCAACCCCACTGTTTCCTACTGCTCGCCGCGCCACTGCTTCTGCACTCTACTCCACCCGTGCCCTGGTTAGATCCTGATGGGCATCCAGGAGGTGAGCAGTAGCGCTCTATGCACAACTGGACGCAGATTGCCCCTTGCATTGAGGAAACTCAATCCCCTGGGCAGGCTTTGCAGCATGATACGATTCAAGAATGAATGCAGCGTCTGATGAGGGAGCCTGATGGGGCAGCCGCAGCGCCCAGGTGCCTCCGATGCTGCACGCAGCGGTGCGCAATCGCGGTTCGGCCACCGTTTGCTTTGGTCAGCACGAGCGCCATCGCCATCCAACGCAACACCTGTGGCTTGACGGCTCTGCCGTATATACGCGACGCCTCTCTTCGCCCACCCACCCTGACCCCCCCCTCTCCCCTGCAGCTGCTGGACAATCCTTACGTCCTAAGCCCCGCGCAGGTGGGGCAGCGGGGCCGGCCGACTGATGTGCGCTCTTAAAGATTTGATTGGGGCGGCAGGGTCGGCATCTGGGGGTGCCGAGGGACGCGGCGGCCAGTGGTCAGGTCGCCACGTCACTCGCGCAATCCGTCCTGCTTGCCAGCGGTCATGTTGTCACATCGAAGGCCACGCACCTTGCCCACACTGCTGCGCTTGCTATTCTGCAACTGGGTCATCCTGCAATGGGTGACTTGCGCGTGTTTGGCCCCACAAACTCTGAACACCTTGCCACCACGACATGATCAAACCTGACGTGCATGTGCGCTTCAGGACTATGCCACAAAGCTGTTCAAGTCCAACATGGCGGCATACAAGCAGTGAGGGGGCGCGCCGCGCAAGCGGCGTCTCTGAGTCCTTCGTTGGCGCATGCATGGGGCCTCCTGCTGCTCGGAATTTGACAGGCGCTGCAAGTTACGTTGCGTGGCACGTCTGCATATCAGTCAAAAACGGCAACGTCGCCCCTGCAACCAAAACCCCCCTCTGCACACGCACGTTCATGACATCCTCCCACACACGCGCCCATGCACACGACTGTGCGCGCACAAAACTCCTGCAGGCACGTCAAGGCAATGGTGGCGCGCTACCCTGCGGACAAGGGCGACAGCTAGCTGATGAGCGCAGGCGGGGCAGGGCGGGATTACCACGAGAGTAGTCCTTGGCAACCCCATGCACGCCGTCCCCAGGGCGGACCCATTCCATGAATGCAGACCTGAAAGTGCCCTATGCCAAGATGGAGTGCGTGCGGGTGGAGCTCGTCATTATGTGTGGGTTTGGTGGTCAGGCGCGAATGCCTGCTGCGGCCTTGTCTGACGGGCAGCTTCAATGCCTTTGACGGGGCCCCCATGGGGGCCAGATTTGGCGACAGCTGGCTTACCCGGGTGTGGCACCAGGCATGTCCAGGGCCCCACCTGGTACGCACCTTTTCCTCGGCTCTCTGGGAGGGCTTCCACCCAACACATGACTCATGTATTCGCCCGCCTGTTTCTTTGTGAAACTTCCACAAGAAACGAGTCGACATTGTGTTGTCTTTTGCTGTCAGGATGTACGCCCCACCCTCTGTTCATTGTGTTCTTCAACTTTTGCAATGATCAACCACACCTAGTTCCCACACCGCACCTTCGTTTTGTTTGTTGCTGCCTTCAGAGCTCACAAATTGCATACACACATTCTGGCTCGCCCGCCCCCCCTGCCATGCCACAACAGGCCTAGTGCTAGCAAACACATATAGGATGAGCATTCTATCTTGCATCTGAACGCTGCTTGGCGAGGCGGTGCCTGGCCCGCACATTGACACCTTCTAGGTTGTATGCCGCCTCTACCCAGCTGTATGTAGGGCACTCTGTCTTTCTCTCTGCCCTTCATGCCCATGCCACGGTCTGTGCCCCACTGGGTGAAGGGCACACTCCACATGTTGCATGTCAACCTATGTCAACTACAATTCTTGCTCATGTTGCGAGCTTGTCGTGCACACTGGGCGCCTGTGAGCAATGGGCTCCAGGCTGGCTGGCAGCCCAGACAGATGCATTGCTTGTCCTAGATGAGCGTCCAGCTTCCTGACTGGGCGCTGAGTGATGGCAACTATCACTCTTAGCTGTCTCAGGCTAGCTGCTCTGGGGATTGCAGCTGTCGCTGCGCATGCTATGGCATGACCTTCGTCTTCCCCAAGGCTGAGTGGCAGAAGGGTAATCAGACAATGGATTACACGCGATAAAGACTCACAGCAAAGGTGCAGGGGAAAGGAGGCTGAGCAACTGCTCTCGCAGTTGCCGGCCTGGCATTAAAGGCGGCGAGATCCAGGCAGAAGGCGGAAGGGCAGGCGGCGTCTCACTCGGAGATGGCTGCGCACTTGGCGCTGGTTGTGCGTGACAAGCTCAAGCTTTGCAGTGTGCCCTGGGGCGCGAGGGCGACGCTGTTGAATGGACGCCTCACCAAACGGCAGATGGCAATGCGGCCCGCGGGAAGCTCTCACAGAGCTCCTTTGACAAAAGGCTTTCCCCCCGCAGTCACCGCAAGCGTGCTTTGAATGGCAGGGTGCAGGCACATACAATGCGGCATGGGCGCTGGCAGTGGTTAAGAAGCGGCGGGGCTGCTGCAGGTCACATCAAGGTCACCCCGATGCATGGCCTGACGACATCAGGCAGTAACCAAGCTTGAGTGCGCAAACACAGGCAGCGGATGTCAGGCACGGAGTGCGGCATCGCCCAAGGTGATTATGCAGCTCAAAGCTGTGCGGACAGGCGCAGCCGTCAGGCGCCCCGCGCTTGGGCCCTGTCAGGCGCCAGACACGCCACATCCTCAGGCATGTTTCACCTCACTGCCCGCGCCGGCGAGGGCCGCCTGCACACATAGCGGCCCAAGCGGCGCGAGTAGCAGTGCAGCTCGGCCGCTGGGCCCATTTGGGCCAGGGCGGCGGCTCCAGGGCGCGGGATTGGGGCTCCTAGCTCGCATCCCCCATGGCCTCTGTTGTGGGGGTGTTGGGCCTCACGCGGCCGCCTCACCTCGCAGCTCAGCGCCCACTCGCGCCATCTTGGCGCGCAGCGAGGCGCTGATGACGTCAGCCGTCGGCGGCAGCGCGCCCCACTCGGCCGAGAGGCGCGCTCTGACCTGGTCAAAGTTCTCCCACTCCATATCATCCACGGGGCCGCTGTTATACACCACCTGGAACAGGGGAAGGGGTGGGGCCGGATGGCAGACACTGATAGATGCTTGGGGGGTGCCTAGTGTGC